CTAACTATGTACAAAAATTATTCTGTAAATATAGGATTTTACACTATGGAGTAAACACTGGATTTTACATTATGTTTTTGTGTATTTATTTATTCTGTTCCTTTGAAACTTGATATGCATAAAGTAAAGATAGAGTAGTAAACAGGATTTTAAAATAACATCCACATTTCTCAGATCTTTCCTTTGGGGCCTGGATATATTTGTGTTGATCTCCAGTTTATGTGTCTAGTGCTACAATTGTATACACACTTACTGGAAAGTAAAGCTCATTGAACTTAATGGGACTAACTTCTAAGTAGGAAGGGCCACAATGGCACTACACCTTTAACAGACATATTTCTGACATTGTTCATCACAAGCTATACCTGTTTCTCCTTCCTCTTAAATGATCCATCTGCCCATTCAGTCATGAGATGGCTGGTTGGTTGAATAGGTACTAACAAATGTCCAAGTTAAGGAATTATATTTTCCAGTGAAAGTATGAGATGAAGCCAGAATCCCCATGCTCTGAACCTTAAAAATGTCTATTTAAAAATACGTCCAACTTATTTAAGAAGAGCATTCTTCCACATATGTGTAGAAGTAAGGATTACTTCTAAAACAGCCCCAACCAAGGTAATGGGATCACACCATTTGGCCCAACCTCAGTGGGCTTAACCTATACTTAGTTTTTCACAGGGAAATTGAAATCTAATTGAAGTCTAATTCCTTTAAATTGCAGTAGACACCCACCTGAACCCTAGTGGTCCTCTTGGATTCTGGGGGGTTAACTTCCAAGTGCTTTAGAAACCTAGCAATAGCCCCATTCATTTTAATAGCATTCAGTAAATGTAAAACCGGTCCGCCTCTTAACTGAACTGTACATTAGTCTTTAAATCAGCTATTTTCATTTCATAGACCAACATGGTCAGCGCTTTCCTTTTCTTGGGACAGGAAGAAGGAACTGGTGGGATATAACATGGACTAAGCAGTGTGTAGGTTTTTGTTCTACTCTGAATCAGGCTACATGCATAATTCTGGTCATTTTTTCAAATGAGTGTACACATCTTGCTAGCTACTGAAGCTGTATAAAGGTAACTACCATGAAAGCAACTTAAAATAGTACTAGTTTCTGTACAATTCTGCCACATCACCTTAGAAGAGCTGTATCCTTCACTCGAACGACAGTCTTCCTTGAGACCCAGTCTTGCTTATTGCCTTGCCAATATTTTCTCCATTATTCAAGGAAATGCAGTACATGCGCTCCATACTTACTTATTATGAGACATTCTAGAATGCTACAACTTTCCATATCTTTCAGATTGCCTGCCTATGCATTTGCAAAAGATTCCTTGATCAGCATATTTCTTTCCAAGCACCAAGTAGGATAGAATAATCTTCTGTATATTTTTCTCTTATAAGGCTAGGCACCACTGAGAGTTAACAACATAATTCTGTACTAAATTCTGTACTCTACTCAAGAGTAAGCCCCTTTACAAAGGAAACTGAAACTGAGGTTTTGGTTTTTGGTGTTTTTTTTTTTTTTTTAAGGACTGAACCCTGTACGCACATACTAAAGAGTAAGTGCCATTGAGCTCAGTGGGATTTACATACAGGGTGGCGCTGCGAGATGAAAATATTAGAGGAACATATAAACCCAACACTGAATCCTTTTTAACTGACAGAAGCCAAAATCTATAAAGAAATGCGATAGGATCTACCTGGAATAGAATATTTGCTGACAGATAATTGAATTACTATTTAAGCAAGAGTTTGAGAGATAACCCATGCATTTACAGGGTGACTTCAACATATCTGACAAATAATTCTCTCTCTCTCTCTCTCTCTCTCTATATATATATATATATATATATATATATATATGTGTGTGTGTGTGTGTGTGTGTGTGTGTGTGTGTATATATATATATATATATATAATCAGTAGATTCATTCTTGCCAGTCCTTATTCACCTGCACCTTTCTCTCTTTTTTAAGTTGCTATGGACCTCCCAAAGATATTCCTTGCCTGAATAAAACTCCTGTAAGCAAGGATTTCCAGGACCTGATGCTATAAAGAGAAAAAGAAAAAGAAGCACAGTGGAAAGGGGGGGGGGTGCTCTTTCACGCTCTCTTTCAACCCTGGAAATTCAAAGACTTAAAGTTAAATCCGGCCATAAACTTTATTGCAGAGTAATCACACTCTAGTGAGAAGAGTCTCCTTAAATAAAAAAGAAAGCTGAAATAAACAGGCAGCTGGGGCCTACCCTACAATTGCCAGCCAGTAAAAAAATTAAGATATCTAGCTAAATAGGGTGATTTACTATCCCCTATAAACCTAGACTGTCTTTCATAATTTCAAATGCTGTCATGACATGTGGAATCTCCTGATAAAGTTTCCAGTCAACTTGTTCCTTCAGGAAAAGAAGAAGAAAGCAGTGGAAATGCAAACATTTGGGGAAGGCTGTCATTGTGTAGGCTGCGTATTCTGTGTAGGCACACACAGGCAGGTATAACTAAGTCCTGCAGGATAGGGAAGTCCAAACTAATCCTAAATATTTAAAGTCACACAAAGAGCATCTTCCTTGTTCTATATCAGTTGCTGACCTTCCCCCAAGACTGGGATGGCCACTCTTGCATAGCTCCAGATCCATGCTTCCTTCAAGAATTGCCTGCGGACTCTGGCCCTTGATAAACACAATCACTGGAAGCTGAAAAGTTCATGAGGCAAAGGAAGTCATTATCATTTGCCTTAGCCCAAGTAATTTAAGTTAGGCCTCAAAATCCATCTCTGCCAAAATCACTTATTGTGGTTTGCTTGGATTTGACTTGTTAAAAAAATTAAGAATTGGCTTAACTGCTAGGCCTTAGAATCATAAAGGGATTGGGGGGGGACAAACCCCCCCAAACTTACATTTTTAACACATTATTCTACTACATTTAGAATCACTGTGGTAGTCCTGAAAACTAGGACCAAATCAAGGACAGTTGATTCTCTACTGTACAAAGAAACTTAAGCAACTTGTACACAAAACTTACCTTAACTTCCATTGAGCCATTTTTTCACAGAGTATTTGAGAACTTGGGGAATAGATACTTCTGTACCTAAACCTGACAATTTGAATGACCAGGAGGCACACGTAGCCTGCAAAAGAGTCAAATGAAGTCCAGCGTCAGTGTGATTATATGTTATGGGGTATATAACGTTGGATGACAACTCCCCAAAACCATAAAACTTACTTTAATGGCACCACGTGACTTTTTATAGCCAGTGAGCCTATCTGTCTGTGCTATGGATGATTTTACGATCTAATTCATAGACAAAACCCTATTCATTTGGCACCCAAATGTCATATAGCCGGAACTGGGGCTTATAAAGTTTACTGTTTTATAACTTTTAAGGGAAGACATCAATGTAACGCGTCTGTAAATGTGCAGATCTTTAGTTACTCTTAGAAGCTCAGAAGAGTTAACCATTCAAGCCCTGGTGGGGTAAGTAACACTTTTCTAGCAAAACTAACTGTAGAAAAATAAATACAAATGTGCTTATATAAACCCTTTCTCAGTATCTTTTAAGAGTGCACAATGAGAAGGTAGTGTATTTATTCATTCATTCCTTCATTCTCACTTTGGATGGTGCTTGCATTCTCAAGGGTCTCTACAGTGGCGGTCCCCCAAAGATCTATATTTCTTTAGCTACAGGGATAACCCAGAAAAAGGCAAAGCTGTTTCTAGAGATAATATTGCGTGGAAGAAAACCCGGGCTTCTTATATGAGGGAATGAGCTGAAGACTGGTGTAATCCTATCCTAAAAAGGGACTTGGCTGTGGATCCTGAAATGGGATGGTCTATCCCAAATAAGAACTTAGTAATTCAGAAGCACAGTGGACAATTCTGCCTGTATTATTTCCATTAGAGTTTTCTCTCCAACTTTACTCTAGTCAGAGATGTGAAGGCGGCACTACAGTTCCTTTGGGGTACAAAGCAGCTCGCCCACAAAAGGAAATAAAAACGGGGTGGAGAAAGAAAAGGGAAAAACCCTTACAATAGAAAGTTTATTTTTCCAGTCAGTTATTTAAAAAAAAAACATTTTTTAAAAAAGCCGATCACATTGATTTTTTGCTCAGACAGCCAAAATTCAACTCTGTTTGCAACTTTGTTCACCAGCCCCCCAGAACAAAAAAACCCCTCCAACCGAAAACAAACAAACAAACAAACAAACAAACCCCTCCACGTTACTGAAGCCGCGCTTAATAAAAGCCACTTTCAAGAGTTCGTGCAAAGAGTCATATACAAAGGCACAGCAAGGACATACTGTCTGGCATCACAGTTTTCGTCACAGATTCACTATTCACTACACGTTAGGACACGTTCAGTTTGTATTTCATCATTTCACCTCTACAACAGCCATTAATGACACAGGAATTAGATAGGTAGTTTTGGATTGGAAATCTTGGCCACAGCTTGGAGCTATACAGACACAGACACTTTCGAGCACACATGCAGAGTTAAGCACAGCGAGTGCAACACACAGAAAACACCGGGGGTCAAAGCAGGACCGGGTGGGGTGAGGTGGGGTGCGGTAGGGGTGGGTGAGAAAGGGGAGAGGGAGACGAGCTGGAGGGGGCAGGGAGAAGATTTCTCTCCTTTACTCTTTTTGTGGGGGGTTTCCCCCCTTTTCCTTTTTACAGTTAGTTCAAGTAACGCCACTCGCTTCATATAAATAAGTTAAACATCTACTTTTTTTCACGACAAAGCCATTCAAGACAAAGAAATGCACTGGAAGCGGATCTACCGGTAACACGCGCTAGGGAGGCTTAATTAAACAGGCTCATGATTAAAAGATGGGATAGAGAGCATCTCCAGGCTCCCAGGGAAGTTGGAGCAACTCAACGTAAAAGACAGAGGAGTGAGGGGGGAGAAAGGGGGGGGGGAAGAGAGAGAGAGAGAGAGAGAGGGACTACTGACATTCCACGCAGGGTCAGCTCATATAATACTGCTCAGTACTTGTTTATGTTTATGTTTTGTTTTGATTTGATTTGCTTTCTGGGGAGGAAGCAGCAGGGCCGGATCCTCTCCTAAGGGCGAAAGGCTCCTCCTGCCGCTGCCATGCTCATGCTCTTCAGCTTGTTATCCTTTTTCCATTTCATGCGCCTGTTCTGGAACCAGATCTTGATTTGTCTTTCTGAGAGGCAAAGAGCATGGGCTATTTCAATTCTCCTCCTGCGCGTCAGGTATCTGTTGAAGTGAAACTCTTTCTCCAGCTCCAGGGTCTGGTAGCGCGTGTAAGCAGTCCGAGCCCTTTTCCCTTCGGGCCCCCCAATGTTGTCTGCAACAAGAAAGGGGGAGCAGGTTAGACTTGGGAAACAGGGACAAGCCCCACTCAAGCCCCAGGCAGGCTCCTGGCTCCCCCCTACCCATTTCCCTCTCTTGTCCGTAGGGAAAGTTGGGAACATGCTCAACAAGTACCTCCTTTTCTTCACCCCCGCCCATCATTCCTCTTCCTATTCTTAAATTAGTGTCCAGAACCAAACTAATTAAACAGTCTCTTTTTTTTACTGTTTTATAAGCAAAGGCTGGAGAATCTCATCACAGGAAGCCCAGCTGATGCCCCTCTCCCTTCTCTCCTATATTAAATCTCCCATTGGTTTTAAGACAACTGACTTCCTCCCAATGGAAGGGTTAGGGTCGTGATGTTAAGTTTCGACCCCGCGTACAGTGGCGTACAAAAGTCCAAACAGACAAAACCCAAAACACCACCACCTTGGACGAAGTTCGATTCCCTCTCCTGATTTTAACCACACTTTATCTAGCGGTCAGTCTCCTCGATTTCAAAGGAAAGCTTTCCAAGACAATGTCCTGAGAATTGCCATACGAGCCTCCCCCATCGTCGCCCCCCCCCCATCCAGTCTCTCCTCTTAAGTTTTCTGTGGATCTCCTTCCCCCCAGCGAAATCTTGCTTCCCCCCCTCTATTTGCTCAACTTCTTTTTTGATATAATTAGTAACGGTGTTTTTCACTGGACGGTCCTCGTCATAAATTACAGAGGCTGACACGCACTATTCAAGCTCTCCCTCTCTCGCTCTCTCCTCCACCATTTCAATTACACCTCAGCAGTCCTGGAGACTCGGGAGAGTCCTTAGGAGAGGGTGGCTTACCCTGCCCTGAGCTGAAGTGCTCCGCTTGCCCCCAAAACTGCTCAGCCCTTTCAAGAGGCGCAGTGGCCGCCTCCGAGCAGACCCCATGGACGCACCCAGGGGCACACAGGCACACAAACAGCCGGCGCGGCGGACACACGTTTCTGGCCGCCCCCGTCTTCCCCCGAGCGAGCAGCGCCGCGCAGCGCAAGGCAGCGCCGCGCGCGCGTGTGCCTGTCCCTCGGCTCGCCTTCTGCCCCTCTCCCTCCCTCCCTTCTTCCTCCCCGCATCCCTCCCTCCCTCCTTCCTCCCCGTAGGTGAGAATCCGGGCATGCTTTTACCATGGCTTATGTGCAGCTTTCGCATCCAGGGGTAGATCTGGGGCTGCGGAGGCTGCGGGGCCGTGCTCTGGTCGTTCTGCTGCTGCGAGGACGCCTGCTCGCCGCCGGCCGGAGGGTCCTCTTCGGTGCCAGGCGACGTGCTTAGCCCGTCTCTGCCTAGGTGGGTGTTGCCAGCGCTGGCGCTGGCGCTGCTGCTGCTGCTGGCGCTGCTGCTGCTGCTGCTGCTGGCGCTGCTGCTGCTGCTGCTGGAGGTGGACGAAGTGCTGGTCGAGTTGGCGGCGGAGTTTTTCGCTGCGCCGTGGAGAGCGTCGCCGCTGACAGGAGAGGCGGCGGCGGCGGCGGCGGCGGCGGCGGCGCAGGGCAGCGGCTCAGGCGGAGGCGAGTGGGTGGCCGCCGCCCGGCTGGCGTACCTGGCCTCGGGGGCGGCGGCGGCGGCGGCGGCGGCGTTGGCGGCGTAGCTGCCGCGAGCCCTGTCGGCGGGCCCTCCGGCCGCAAAGTGGCTGGAAGCGGAGCGGCCGACGCTGAGGTCCATGCCATTGTAGGAGTAGCCGCCGTACCTGCCGGAATGCATGCTGGCGGAGTCCCTGAATTGCTCGCTCACGGCACTAGGATCTCCATAATTATGTAACGGGTAGTCCGGGCCATTTGGATAGCGACCGCAGAATGAGTTTACAAAATAAGAGCTCATTTGTTGTTGTTGTTTTTTGTTGTTGTTGGGTTGGGGTTGTTGCTTTTTTTTTTTTTTTTGTTTTTGGGGGGTTGGTTTTTTTTTTTTTTTTTTTTTTTTTTGGATCGGGGGGCTTGATTTGTGGCTCTTTGCTTCGGTTTTTTGGTGCGTCTATAGCACCCTTGCACAATTTATGATGAATTATGGAAATGACTGGGACATGTACTTGGTTCCCTCCTACGTAGGCACCCAAATATGGGGTACGGCTTCATATCACGTGCTTTTGTTGTCCAGTCGTAAATCCTGCCTGATGACCTCTAGAGGTAAACTCGTGCACTAAATGGGGGAGTTGGGTGGATGCTGGAGGGCTGGGGCGCGTGCCCGGCGCGCGCGCCCGCCGACAGCTCGCGACTGTCAGTCGGCCTCGTGCGCCACCCTCTGGAGACGAGCGGGATGTTCACCCTTCCCAGCCAGGGGCTACGGCAAGGGCCGGGGTCGAATCGAGGTTACAGCCCATTATAGCAAAATTATGGCATCTCTCTCACAGTTCCATTAGTATGTACCAATTGTTAAGCCCATCGGCCCCAGATCAGAAAACCAGCAAGAACCCAGGAGTGTCAGGGAAATAGAGTCAGCCTTCTATTTTCGATAGGACAGCCTGCTTTTTTATTTAAAAAAATGTCGTTCTGCCTGAGATTCTTTCACTTTAAAAAATCATCAAAGGAAAAAAAAAACTTGAGGTGTCTTGGGTGCGGGGGAAAAGTTAATGAATGTGTGTGTGTGTGTGCTGCTTGGGGGGGGGGGGGGGGGGGCGGAATCAGAGCCTTCTAGCAACAATCCCTGTAGTATATTTCCAGGCGCTTTAAAAGGTGAAGGCTAAAGCAAAGGCATCGATCCACATGTATTTAAGATCAATAAAGATTTCAAAATTCCCTTCTTCTCGTATACATTTAAATAGATTGTGGAGGAAATTTGGTAAAATTTTATATCTTATCTCTCTCCCTATTGAATAAATATAATCTGGTGGCAATCTTTTGATGAGAAGATGGTCAGGGTTCCTCTTTCAGTCATATGTGGAGCTACCGCCGGAGTGGTAGACTTTTGATAGCGTCTACACACACCCACACACTTTCCACGTAAACATATGTGTACATAGGAAGATGTTTTATCTGTAAAATCAACTGTGTCTTTTTTGCCCCTTCCATCACACAACCTATGATAGTAGCAGCACTTTGTGTGCGTGTGCGTGTGCGCGCGTGCCTAAGCATTATTGCGCTTAAGAATTTTGCAAAACGTAAAAGGGAGAGAAAACATATGTCAGTCAAGTATTCTCCCTAATACTATTTTAAACACAGTCAAGAATACTCAAAAATCAAAGCCACACACAATGGTCAATATATATTGTAAAGGAATTATTAGAATTCTGTCTGCCTAGAGATACTTTGAAAAGTGGAGGGCTTATTGATGAGTTTTTAAACTGGTATGCTTATTTTTAAACAGGAGAGTTTATTAACAGTATTCGGACCCTTTTAAAAAGATGGTGACTATTGAAAAAATAACGAAATCTCTGGGAATTCTGAAAAATACATAGCAAACCATCAACACCTCAAGGTTTCCTCTAAAAATTGTAACTTAATATTGTCATTTTCCTTTCCCTTGTTGAGGGAATTATATATTTAAATTAATCATATTTAAAACACATGTTCAGGAAAACTCTTCCCCCACCCCCTCATCCATCGCATTTTAATGCCATAAAGTTGCCATGATGGGTACACTTTAAATAATTCCTGCTGAAAGCATTGGGTCCTATTTCCAAATAAATGGGTTCAGCACTGAGGCAAAAAGGAGGAGAACAATGAACAACAGCGTACCAGGGTTAGCAACAAAGACATAAATAAGAAACCTGTACATCTCCGGCCATTCTAGGTTCTCCTGTGAATAAGCGACCGACCGAATGGCCCCTTCTTGAGCCTAGAAGCCGCACCATCAAATTGCAGGCTGCTACACAGGCATCTGATTCTCCTTAAACTTTATTCCCCCGGCCTGCCATAGCCACCCTCTTTTCCTTTGCTTTTAGAAAAACACAATCTTCAGCACTTTAAACCTCCTAGTCTATACTTTGGTGCCCTATGTACATCACTCACTTCTACAGTCAATACTTATATTGATAAAGAAATTCACAGTTAATTCCAAATATATAGATAGATTTATAAATATGTATATATTTTAATCCAACCTTTGAGAATCATCGGAATAACAGCAACAGCCACAACAAGCACCACTTCAGGGACTTTACTGGGAAGAAGAACATAACTGGGAGGCTTGTGGGGGAAGCGAAAAAAGCGACTAATGAAAGACCTGGTAACTTGCTTAAGCATTATTTTACTCCCCTGATTTTTCTTCCTCTTCCTCGCCGGGTTGAGTGGAATTAATCAATTTGCTTTCTTTTTTCCATTTCATTCTCCTGTTTTGAAACCAGATTTTAATCTGTCGTTCAGTAAGGCAGAGGGCATTTGCAATTTCAATCCGTCGCCTTCTGGTTAAATATCTGTTAAAATGGAATTCCTTCTCTAACTCTAAGGTCTGGTATCTGGTGTAGGTTTGTCTGCCTCGTCGCCCATGCGTTCCATATACTGTACCTATGGAAGCAAAGACAGTATGATCTCAACTGTGCAGGCCTTCATGCTTCCTATACAAAACATCAAGAAAACAGCTCAGAGCTCTTTGCTGTTTGTAGTTTTCTCCTGTTGCCTCACATAAGGCTATAAACTCATCAGCAGCTCTCATATCCGGGATTTAAGCTTTCTCAATAATTTTCAGGCTATAATTTGGTAGCTGAATCCTGAGCACCAAATGGCTATAATGCCATGAAGGAACAGTTAGAATTCACATTGCACACCGCACACAAATCCCCTCAAAGAGTGTACAAAATTGGCACGTTCATCCATAGTTCTCTCTGTGTGTCGGTTACTCAGTATGTCTCTCTGTGGCATCCTCAAACACCTAGGCTGAATCCTAGATCAATCTACCAGGGAGTACTTTTCAGGGAACTCAATAGGACTTGCTTTTGAGTAGGCATGCATAGGATTTTATTGTTAGTGAACCTGGGTGTGATCCAGCCAAACTTAACCACTGTTCAATCCCACTGACTTTATGGGAATATACAAGCAGGCATATTGCTTGACCTTGTCTCCATTTAAAATAAGTGGGATTTGAAAGACTTAACATTAGTTGAGTCTTGGCCCATTCAAATAATTAATCAAACTTCAGCAAGCTGATACTAGATTCCAAACATATTAATTTGCAGGCTGCGCTGAATTCAGTGACTGTACTTCTAAGTAAGTGCTGTTAGGATGGCAGCCTGAATATAGCATGCAGTCTCAGGAAAAATAAACTTAGAATGCATCCTTAAAGCAAGGAATACGTGTAAGATGCAGTGATGACTGTTGTATAATACAAGAAAAACAACCATCGACCAGCAAGAAAGTGAGTGTACTTTTGGCTGAAAAAATGATGAAACCCTGCTTCTGGAGGTTAAATCTGTAATTCTCTCGCCCTGCTTGAAATTTCCACTTTAAGAAGGACAAAGGATGAAATTCTGCTGCATTAAAATCAATGGGAGTTTGGCCATTGATCAAGTTGCCTCTCTTCCCACCCCCTCCCACACACGATTTGTGTGTGCGCAGATATTACAGGGAAAACGTGCATTCAATCGCTAATACTTACACACTAATGAGTGGGTGAAGGGAGGGGGAAGAGAGTGTCTGTCTTACAAATATATCGAGCAGTCAATAGAGAAGGCATATTTCTTCCCATCAGTCCTGGGTTCTCATGGAAAGGGGAGCTTCTTTGGGTATTATTATTGAAATGCCAAAAACATTTATTCTGAAATGAATTGTATGCATCTTCATGGAATTTGTTTCCAAGTAAGTTTGCATGGCATTACAGCCCTTATTTGCTGACTCAGACCTGAAACGATTTGGGTGTGTGCAAAAGGCATTTTTCTCCAAGGTGTCCCCCAGAGTGTCGGCCTGAGGGAGAACCTGGCCAAAACTCTGAGGGTACCCGTGGGCTTGCAGGTGCCATCGCTCTTCAGAAACAGCCTGACTGAGAGCGACCCCCCCCCCCCCCCCCCCCCAGCCAGGCATCTCCCTGCTCCTCTCTCGCACACAAAAGCCCTCTTCCTCCCCACCTCCCCACCGCCCTCCCCGCACCCCTCCTCTCTGGGTGGCATCCCAACGACTCACCAGCACACGAGTTCATCCTTTGCATCCAGGGATAAACAGGGCTGGTGTACTTCCGGTCGCTGCCTTCGTCATTTAGGGTTTTGGCCGGCCCGTTCTCGGGCTTGTACTGCTGCTCGGAGGCAAAGGAGGGCAGGTAGTCCCCAGGGTGGCCGGCCCTCTGCTTGCCGCTGCCGGAGGGCGAGGCGGCGCCGCCCAGGTCCTTGTCCGAGTAGAAGCAGGAGGCGCCATACTCATAGGATGCCCGGTTGCAGGCGATGACCGTGTTGGTGGACTGCTGGTAGAAGCAAGGTGAGGAGTAGGTCTTGTCCTGCAGGCTGCCGGCCCCATAAGAGGCTGGGAAATGCCTCAGAGCCTCGTAGCCCGCCGGGTAGAGGGGCAGCTGGCCGAGGAACGACTCTTGCCCATTAGGCAAGCTCCCCGGAAAAGCGGGATTCACGAAATAGGAACTCATTGACGCTCCCCAGATCCCGGGCTCGTGATTTGTTGTGTATTAGTACATCTGGCTATAACTATTAGTAGTCATCCAAGTGGTTTGTTTCTGGATGGCCGAGCGCCAAAAGCGACAGCAGCAAATAGCACCAGCTGACGGCTCGGCGGCCAATGAGGAGGCGGCGGAGGGCCTTCTCCCCTGGGACCCGCCGCCACCGAGGCAGCAAAGTTACAAACAACACCCCGCCGCCGCCGCCGCCGCCGCCGCCGCCCAGCAGATGGATGGCAATTGGCGACCAGCAGTTACCTTCCACTGTGCCAAAGCAAGGGGGGGCGGCGGCGGGGGGGGGCGGGAAGGCGAACCGCCGGAGGCTCCCTCGCCCTCCGTGCATGGGGCGCGGGGGCAGAAACGCGTGCGCCCGCACAAGCGGGCACCTCTGCCAAGGCGGCAGCCCTGGGGGTGGGCGCTTTGCCCCCAGAGCACGGGGCAGAGTTAGGGTGGGCGGACTGAAGGCATGTCCGGGAGCGCCAGGAGCCGCCTCCGGAATTCCCCGCCGGCCCTGCTCGTCCTTCTGCCAGATCCCTGCACGCCATCCCCGCAGCGGACATAAAAGCAGCTGGGCCGGTGGATGTGGGCTCTGTGTCTCTCTCTGAAATATATTCAGAGGGAGAACAGGACCGGGCTCAGAACGAGAGAGTCTGCTCCAATTATTCTTAAAAGCAAAACGCGCACGCACTGAGACAAGCTCCAAGAGGACGCCTTCCTTCCTTCTCCGGGCCTGATCCAGGGGAGGAAACGAAGTCATGGCCGAAGGCCCCCCAGGGTCTCCCCTCAGAACAGAATGAACGACCGTAATGTCGCCCACTTTCTTTACTCAGCAATCAAGCAGTGCCTTCTCATTTTCTTGGCCTTTTCTCGTCCCGTCTCCGTGGCTCAGGAAAAGGACCTCGTCTGTCGAGCCAGATAATTTAATCGGAGATCACGAGCCGGGCAGGAAGCGTGTTCTCTCCACGTTGACGCACTGGGGTGGTCGCTAGTTGGTTGGCCTTGGCGTGCCTGAAGTTAGTCCTCTCCAAGTCAGCTAAGGGTGGTCTCCGTGGCTTTGGCGAGGCGAGGGTGTTCTGGTAAAAACGGGCGCATTTCTGTTGTTGGCCTCCTGAACTCACCAGGTAACAGCCCCATACTCTGTGGCTAGTTTCTCTGTTGCTCTTTGAATCTAGGAGGGGAGTGATGGCAATGCAGACCCTGCCCTCCTTGCCCCCCAAAGTACACAGTGCACCAAAGCAAGTTTGTCGAGACATTACTTTCTTAGGATACATATGTTCACCCCGACAGAGTTTTCATCCTTAGACTGCGGCAGATACGTTGTATTTCCCCCACCTCAACCGCGACTGTAATTTCAGAACAAGAACTACCCTGATTCTAGATCCAGGGCTGAAGACCTACACATTCTTGTCTGTATTAATGCGAGTCTATACATGGTCACTCAGAATTCCCATTCAGTTCCCTTGGGCCTTATTCCCACGTAAACGTGCTCAGGAAAGCCCAAGAAATCTTTTCGATGCCTGCTTTTAACATGCTTGACGTTTTCAATAGGCACTTTAATAACTGGCCTTCAATTGGCCTGCAAGCCACGAGGTTTGGTCTTCTTGTAGCTGGTGTGTTTCATTTCCTGAGCCCAATTACAGTATCTATAAAACAGCAGTAAGTTAAAACATTCGCCCCCCCCAACCCGCCAATCGTGTGCGTCGTTTGTGTCATTAACTGGAGTTTCACAAGGAGATCTCGATTGCCTCCGACAATGAATCCCCCCATCTCCAAAGGACCCCTCCTTCCCCTCCCCCCCAAAGGTAACCTATAAATGCAATTCACAACACGAGGAGGGAGGAAGCATAGAAGCAGAAACAGAAGACACACCATTGCTGAAAAGAAAAAAATAAATTGCTTTTCAAAGATTTCACAATGCAAAAAGGACGACCAAAACAAAGCAGTGTTAACACACAACAGCAGACGTGGAATCGAAAGACAAACGTCCACGGAGCTGGACAGTTCCCCTCCCCCCATTGCCTGTACTTTTTAAAAGATTGTAGTAGATTTAATCCATCAAATCCTACTTCAAATACTTATGTAAATATATGCAGCTAATAAACATTAATACAAAGGAAAAACATCTATAAGTTAATGCTATAAGGAGGGAATCGTGCTGAACTCGAAGCTGAATTGCTGGATTTTTTTCCCTCCCCCATCGTTAGCAAATACATCAGAATAATAATACTACTAATGGAAAGTATGTGAATGCTCACCAGGTTTCCCACTGCGTTACCTAGCAAATTCTATAAATAAATAAGTATAAATAGAAATGAAAATAAAATATCGGTCGCCATCCATGGAACAAATGCTATCAAGGTCTGTTAATAGTGAAGTCTCCCACCCCAACAGAAGTAGAACTTCCAAGTTCTTCTGCCACATCTGTTCTGCAGAAGCTTTGCCAGAGCTGCACCTTCTCAAATGAACCCAGACAAATGCCCCGAGACACATTCCTAAACTGAAGCAAGGTAAACAGTCCGAGCAGTCCCATTTAAAACGAAACATGCACAAATCCCAAACTCTTTAAGGTGCAGCATCCATTGATTTCAAACGTGTGACTACCACTTTAACAAAGCAAGTGTTTCCTCCCCCCTCTCCCCCCCCCGCGCCTTCGCTTTCATTCAATCGAAGCCATAAGTCAAAGAAAGTTAGAATACAGGTGCGGAGGGTAGTTACCCTCTTAAGCTTAAAAGCTCCTTTCTCCTATGGTATAAATCCGCTTACAAATCCTTCTCTTGTTCGGAGATGTAACAGAAAACAACCTTTAGCTAATAGCCGCTAATCCAAACAGACCTCTCAATCTCAGCCGTTGTTTAGATTGAACGTGTATTAGTAACCCACATAGAGTAGCTTTCCAGTTCGCCCGAGACACATCCTGTTAAATAACATATTTCAAAGACGTCTCCCTCCCTACTCCCCTACGAGATCACTCCGAAATCTCGAAATTGCCTTAAAGGTGTGAGGTTTGCTCAAGACAACAGTGGTGCTTGTTAACTGAGGTTTTCCAGTGGCGAGCGACCCGCTCGGATTTATTTAATTATTTGACTGGAGGGTGCCTCCGGCCCGCTCGGTGCCTAGTACCTGCATTGGCCACGCAGTGGCAGCACGGAGCACGTTTCTCCTGGCGATAAATAATCCGACATTCACTGCAGTTGCAGTCAAGCAGACACTGCAATGCAATGCACACGTAATTCTTTATCAGCTCGGAGAAGGAAAGAGGGGGAAAAACAGAAAAAACACTCACTGATTATCTATAGCAGCGGAAAGGAACATTTTAAGATAGAACTATTTTAAGAGAGGCCAATCCTGCTAGAAACCAGGTTACAAGAAGCAACATAAAATGGGCGAACGACACAGATTTATACCAACGAAAATATTGCCTCTGACTGTTCCCACCATCACAACACTCCACCTATTCCAGCTTTCAGAGGATGTGATGTGATTTCATTACCTATCCCTAAAAGCTATATGTTGAGTAAGTTGACTACAATTAGTTAATGCATTTAATCCTCAGCTATCATGAATGAACAAAACGCATTTCCACGCTTCCAAATGACATAATATTATCCTGCTTCCAAACAGTGTAGGTGACGCATTTGTACTGAAGACGCTTCTGCATCTGAATAACAAGCGATTTAATGCACTACTTGACATTCTCGGAATTATTCTCCACCAAAAACCTCAAACACCAGGGTATGCTGCTAAACACCTTGGGGACAATTTAAAAAATAAAACCTCATAGTAATAACAGTCACACATTACACATGATAGGACAAAATAGTGTGTGGTTATGTTCATCTTAGAAATATTCCAGCTCTGTGATTCTAATGTTGCAATCTTTAATTAAATGGAGTCCACAAATCCACCATGACATCAATATACAGCCTATTATTCAACCAAAGTAGGTTAACAGTGTTCAAATGACCCGGCTATAGGCACCTTCGTCGCCCGTCTCTGATGTGCATGCACACCGGGCGTCCATTTTCCATAGGCACGATTGCATCTTTGGCTAATCAACACTCTGCATCTCATATGCCTAACTAGGTATGAGCAGGGACGTGAGAGAGGTTTCTATTCCAGCCTGCATCGTGTAACGAGGTTTGCTCGCTCACGTTCGTGTTCTCTGCATTTCTCACCTTAGGTTCAGACTCGCAGGAGCCCCTGCTACTTTGACAGCTGTCGTTTTGGCTGCACCGGAGACGAATCGCCCTCCTTTTGGTGCCAGAAGAACCAGGAAATTAGCCAGGTTGCGAGTTGAAAATCTGCCACTCCAGCGCTTTGAATCCAAAATGCCACACCTTCCGGCGGACGAGCTGGAATTTGCCATCCAAGAAGACCTGTGTTCTAGGCGGCTGCCTATGCTGAACCTCCATACACTCGGCTCCCTATTGACTTACAAAGGACAAATGAAAACGGGGGTGGGAGGGGGGGACTGAAAAGCCAGAGAGATCCGAAGCAAGACAGAGCTGAGCAAAAGAATGCAGCTCTATTCTCGCCAGGGAAATTATAAAAAAGTTCATGTTCACGGTTACTATCCACATGACCGTCGGCAACCAATGGAGAACCCGAACCACTCATAAAGTTGTATTGCAAAGTTGTAAATTTTCATAAACAACAACGGATTTATGGCCCTTTCCTCATCACTAAGAAAGAGGCAGGACTTAGAGAGGCGCCATTTTATCAGAGAGGCAGCCCTAGATTTTTTAAAGGACCCACAGTTCGGACTCTTTTTCCTTTCTTGCTTGCGTTTTTCCTGGAGAGGGTTATTAGAACGGCAGTAAATACATTTATCAGCACTGCAGAGCATCTGCTTTAGTCCTCTTATCACCCTTATTAATCTTGCTTTTACATTGTTCTTTACACCCAGCCTTAATTTAAAAAGAAAAAGAAAATTGATGGTAAGGAGAAAATACTCGGCAATATGCCTGGGAAGAGGATTGTGTATGTGTTCGGGTTCTTCCAAATTTATGCTATACACTCTGCCAAAACCCACCCTTGCTCGCGATCTGAGAAATTTCATATTGTCACTGGCTCCAGTTCTCGCCCCTAAATGCAGGTTTCCGCCTACATCTGGGAAGAGGCTCTTAAAACCAAGATTTAAATGATTTTGCTTTGAAGTGAAATATAAAACTGTAGTAGTCCTAATCTTATGGAAATACGTCTGATAGAAGTTTTAGAATGAATTGTGTCTCCGATTCCATCATATGAGGCCACTTAGAGCAAGCAAAATCTACTGTTGTTATCACCTGTTATCTTACATGGAAGAAATTCTTGTCGAAATCAACAGATGGGCACTTGAATAAGGATTGGGGCTGCTCGCTCGGCGGCTATTGGCCCCTCAAATTCCTATCCGTAGGGAAATTGCTGGGAAAGAAGGGGTGCACAAGCCTTGCCTCCTGAGCACTGGGGCCGTCTAAATGGCCCTGCGATCCAGAATTGTGGTGGATTTCTGTTTATTTGCTTGGAAAAGTTGCATTTGGTTATGCATTAGTGTGTGTGTTTGCGACACTTTTTGATAAAGACAGACGAACCATTGTCAACAAGCATTTTTATTTCTTTGTAACATAAAACACGCTGGACTGGGCAATACATAAAAGCGCCTCCCAAAGAATTCTCACGCACACTCTTCCCGCCTCTATTTTTAACATGAAATAGCTCAATGTTCACAGTGAACACAGCAAAAAAACAAACACACGCGCGCACACACTGTAATGTACAATGGATGCATAAAGTTTAGCCAAAACTTTCAAGGCGGAATTTATTTATACAGACTGCTTAACAATTTATCATGCTACAAATCTACCTGATTAAAGACAGATTCCCCAGCGTATGAAATGGTATATTATACATGAGGTCCAAGACAACAGAAAGAGCAAAAGTTGCATTTTGAAACTCAAGAACTGTTAACTATAGGAAAGTCAATGCTCTTTCATACCTAACATAATCTGGTAGGAACAACCAGGGAAGGGGGAGATGCATGGAATTGTTTGAATTCACTTTTCCACAAACAAAAAACTCAGTTCCATCAAGCAGAATTAATTTCATAAAAACTTAAAGCGAAACATCTAACGAGAGCGCAACGCCACAAGGCTCACGTGCTTTGCGCTCTATACAATCGTTGCCATGATTTCCTTCCTCAGATTTGGACTAGTGAAGACTGAAGAAAGCATATATTGCAGCAGATGGTTCTTACTTAACAACCACCTTGGAATAAATATATTATTTTTTAAAACTTTAAATTACACTCAACATCAAAGCCTAGCGCAGAGCCGTGAAGGCCTCACTTTCCCCCCTAATGCCTCCCTCTCTGCATTTCAGGTCCTACAGTCAAGTCCTATTAGCATTACCTTCCTCTTTCTCATTAATAAAATACAGTATAATTTTGAAGATAGGTAGGTGAGTGAGAGAATAGGTAGTTTTGAGAATAGGTAGTACAGATCACTGCAGTTGAGTGTAGTGGTTTTTTCATTGTTATTTCCCCCCTAAGGATTTTTCTCCCCCCCCTCAACCCCAGAGTATCTCAACAACAACCACAACCCACCCCACCCCCAGTAACTGGATGTACATTGTGTAATTTAGGTAGCTTGAGCGTGAACCTAATGCACTTATTCCTTAGGGGTTGATTGGGACCAATACAGTCAGGTAGTTTATTTGGAAGTTAACTCAGATGGGACTTTTTTTTTTTTTTTTGGTGCCCCTTTCATGTGCAAGTCAGGATTGCATTTTCCTGTCACAAATACTAGTAAAAACTAATAACTATCTATCTAGTAATAAACTAACCAACAGAAATACAACAGGCTTGGATGACCAAAACCAACACAGATCCTACTGCGAATTTACTCCTCGCTCCCACAGAACGTGGTTTGGGATGTTCCGGATGCAGAAGACCCCTCAAGAGTTGTGCTCCCCCCGCCCCCCCCGCACTTATAACTGGAAATGACCATTATAAGGGTCTTTTTATTTGTATTTCAAGAGAGCGTTTACAACTGCCACGTGCATACAGACTGGGTGAGCTGGCTGGGGAGGGGGAGGCTGGGCCGGGGGCTCATTCTGCTTCCTCCTCTTCCTCCTCCTCCTCCTCCTCCTCCTCGATCTTTTCCACAGAGGCAGTGGTGGAGGAGCTGTCGTTGGCGGCCGCGGCGCCACCAGCGGGTTCTTCTTTATGCTCCTTCTTCCATTTCATGCGACGGTTTTGAAACCAGATTTTGATCTGCCTCTCCGTCAAGCACAGGGCGTGAGCGATCTCTATCCGCCGCCGCCGGGTCAGATAGCGGTTGAAGTGAAACTCCTTCTCCAGTTCCAGGGTCTGGTAACGAGTGTACGTCTGGCGCCCTCTCTTCCGATCCGGACCTGCGGGGGAGAGGAGACTGAGCCATCCTCAAAGTTAGAGGACCAGGCAATGAAGACGGCCCGCTCAGGCGGACTGGGATTTACAAACAGCCAACACACAAGTGGAGTAAATCTGCCTACCCCCCCGCCACTCTGCCACCCCAGTATCCCTGGCAAAGGTGTGTGCGGGGTCGCTAGAGATACGGCGCCCTAGCCCAGAAAGGGCCATTGCAATAGCAAACCTCTTCCCGTCTCATTCGTGGGGAAGCCCCGTTGAGCTCGATGGGACTCAATCCCCAGAAAGTTTGCACCGCACTGCAGCTCCACCACCTTGCCAGATCTACTCGGGAGTCAGTCCCACTGAGCTCTCCCAGGTTAAGGCAGCTAGGCTGAGTTCCTGGTGCGTGTGTTTAAAATTACAGCCTGAAGTGGCCTCAAGCAACACTGAAGCGGGGGGAGGGGGCGCAACCGACCTGTCATTTGGAACCCATAATTTAAAACAAACTAACAGGAAGGGGAAGGGGGCTGAAAGGAGCCTGTGGGCTGCCTCCCCCACATCCCAGGCGCCCATAGAAGTAAATGCAGCGCCTGGAACTTAGAGCACTGTTTGCTCTCAGATAAAATGGCTCGCTCGCCCCTGTGCTGTGCCTGTTACATCCCTTCTTTCTTTCCTGTGTGCTTGTGAGATCGTTTCTTCCTGGAAAGGAAAAGCGAAAAACTAAAAATAAAAGGAAACCGCACTTGGGAGCGCGAACCACGAATAGAGAGCACCCTGCTCCTCTCGGGCATTTTCTGTCCTCCCCCGCCGGTAACGCCACCCCTCTCTTCCTTCTCTTCTCCCCTTTCCCACGCAGCATCCCTGCTCTGCCAGCGCCAGAGGGGAGAAGCGAGGGAAGCCCCCGCGCCGCGTGTCCTCTCCGGGCACCTTCGCCACCCTTTCCCAGTGGCACCCACCAAAACCCAACCGAACGCTCCAGGTCCGCCACAAAGTGGAGTTAAATAAATTCACGAGGCTAGAAGCCCATTAATTGGGCAATAAAAAGTTTTATGGGGCTCATTTACATACAATGCCACGGGCTTTCTACGCAATGGCGCCTCTGCCCTAATTAAAAGCAGAGCGGCAGGCGCGCGCTTTCTTCCCCTCTCCCCTTCCATTTTTTCCCTTCCCCTCTTCTTTCTTTCTTTCTTTCTCTCTCTGCCTCCCCCAGCCCCCACCCCCTTTCCGGGGAAGTTTGCCTGTTCCACGCTGACCTGCCAGCCTGAGCTGGCTTTCAGTTCCCCCCGGTCGCTGCTGGGGTTTCCTCCCCACCGCACGCGCGCGCGCACGCCTCACCCCCCCTTCCCCATACCTGAGGACCTCATCCAGGGGTATATCCGGAAATTACTCTCAGCCTGGCCGTGCAGGTGGCCTTCCTCCGCTTTCTCGCAGCTGGGTTTGGTTAAGTCATTGCAAAGAATGGGAATGTCGTGATCGAAAGAGGAGCAGTGCAAGTTGTAGGCATCGGAGCCCAGGCCGTATCCGGAGGAGAACGGGGTTTGATATAGGGTGCTGTTCACATTGTACAAGGCAGGCACGGAGGAGGTGAACGCGCCCGCGCCCGGTCCGTAGCCGCTTCTCTGGGAGTTGGTGGCAAAGGAGCAAGACGTCGGCTCCGCATTTTGGAAGAGGGAAGCAGCGCCCGCCGTATATTTGCTAAAAAGAGCGTTCACATAATACGAAGAGCTCATAATTTTGACCTGTGATTTGTTGTCCGGTAGGCTTCGGTGTCGGTTTTACGAGGTAGCGTGATATATGATAACATTACACCCCCAGATTTACACCAAACCCCATTTTCTTTTGGACTGAGCTGCCTCCACCACGTGACCAGTCATATGACCCCGTCCTCCAATCTCCTCCTGCATCACAGGTGGTATAGATCAGGGCAACTCGCAAGGTCCTATAATGGCAGGGGAAGGGGGCGCATCTCTCTGGCAGCGAAGGACAAGGCAGGGGTGGGCGAGCGGCGGACCCCGGGCCGGGCACCCGGAGCAGCGCGCCGAGGGACGGGCCGGCTCCGCTCGGAAACGAGACCCCTGCGCCAGAACCGCGCGGCTTCCTGCCTCTTCTTCCTCCCTTCGCCTTCTTTTTTAAAAAAGAGTGTGTGTGTGTGGGGGGGGGGGGGTGATGCCACTCCAGTTCTGTCTCCTGATTTCCCTTTCCCAGCCAAATTATCCGCGCACTCCGGAAGAATCTGCGGGCGCGATTCCGAATCCCGGTGCCTTGCTCACGACTGGCTTTTCTCCATTTTTATGATTCGGAGCCATCCGGCTCTACCGCCTTCTGGAAGGACCAGAGGTGAAGTTGGGGGGAAACAGAAAAACCGCACTCACAAATATATCCCCTGGCAGTAAACGAAAACCACACGGTTCTCTCCTTTCGCGCGTGCGTTTGTGTGTGATGGAGATAAACACATCCCATCTTCACCAGCATTCTCGTCTGTGTGTGTGTGAAAGAGGGAGGGGGGAATGCATCTGTACCTTACTTGTGCATTATTTTTTCCTTTAGAAAAGGAAACTGTGAGCAAAACATACACCGCAGCCATCGGTATATAACAGAATCTGTAAATATGCTAGCAAATTTACTAACAGATTTATTAAGGAATTGGCACACCGGCTGGTGAATCGCTTGGAGTGAGATGACTGAAGGCTTGCTCAAGGAGGGGAAAAAGCCCTTTCATTTTTCTCCCTTCTGTTGCCCACGACTCGGTCCCAGAAAGAGGGGTCCTGAATTTCTGGAAGTCCTGCAGAGGAATGTATGTCTTTCTCGGCAGCTGCTCCAAAAAGCAGAAAGCTCTGTGTCTGATTTTGCCCATTCTCGTTATTTCAAGAAATGGAAGGACTTTTCATTGCAATCATGCGGCTGACATGCCTTTCCAAATATGGACTTGATCTAATAGCATTAATTTTTCACTCACCGCCCTCATCACACCCCATGCTGGTCCCTTTTTCAACCGAATTGCAGGAAAAGCCAGCAGCATCACGCACGCACCCGCATTTTCAGCACCTTCGGAAATCGAAATCTCTTGGAGTAGGGCAAGGGAAGTGGGATTCGGGGTCGCCCCCTCTTCTTCCGACCGGCCACTGTGTCAATACGTACCTCCAGCGCCCTTCCCGTCCGACGGCGAGGACTCGGTTCCCCGGATACCTCAGCAGGCGCCTTAATTTCGGAACATTCAGCCCCCGCCGAGCAATAAGGCCGTATCCATTCAGGATGTTGCGCCGTTCCCTTCCCTGAAACGGATAATAAAATGAGTTTCCTTCCCTCAGACTGGGCGTTTTGGTAAAGACAGCTTTTACTGCCCTGCTATTGCACATCATAAACTGGAAGGAGGACAATGGAATTGCCCCGGAAATTCTTCCCTTAAATTATAGAGTTTGGTATCCTGTGTGGACAAAGAGGTTCTCACCCATTTAGAATGTGCCTGCCTGATATTTCTCACGGATCCTTGAGAGCTACATTTTGGTAGCCCGTTGGCAGGGGCTCAGTCAAAGGGGCGATGGGGTTCTGGCACTGGGCACTCAGAATAAGGGTAGGGGGCGGTGGGTGGGGGGGAGAACAGAGAGATGGACCAGCAGCAGCATCCCTGATGGGGTGGCATCTCCTTTTGCCGTTTGTGTTACTCTTGAGCAAACCTGCTTGCCTCCAGCGAGACCTCTTGGCTGGCTCACCCCACCTTTCCAACGTGCTAAGATGCCTGTCAAAACCAACGGAATAAAAGCATAAGAGTTGCTTTGCGAGGATGGGTTCCACGCCATATCCGAAATAATTTTCCAATTAAAACATCTCCCGAGACAAATAAACTGGAACTCTAAAGTGAAAAGAAAGCAAAAGAAACCTGTAAGACCATTGAGATCAAAGAGGCTGAATTAGATGGCATTAGACCAATAAATTGCTCCTCTGGTGACACCATTGCTAAATGCAAGAAGAAAGACACAGCAAACATAACCAGCAGTCTAGACTTGGGTATTGATAAGGCAAGACAGAATTTTATAGATGAGTCTTTAAAGGGCTCTGGTTAAGTGCAACTCACTTTTAGGCCGAGGTCTAAGACACTCCCTGTAAGATTAAGCCAAACTCTAGCTCTTAAACCTGTTTGTTTCTCAGCACTGCTGGGATTTCACTTTAAAAAAACAACAACACCTTTTTCCCAAAGTCATTCTTGGAAACCTTTGAAATATTTCACATGGACTTTGTAGTGATTCACGGAGAAGAGACATCCCCCATCACCACGAAGCAGGGTAGTTCATAATCAGACCAACTCCAAATCATGGCTAAATGAATTTCCCTTTGGAATGAGCTCCACATCATGTCAAAAGTGGTGTTTTCCACATCCAATATATTCCCAGTGAGAAGGACCCTCCATTTCTTATCCTTTCCCTGAAATAAAAATTAAAATGTGCTATTCAGTTTTAGTAAATATCTATATTTTCCATCCCCCTCTAAAAGCAACAATACATAGTCTGGAATGGGTACCATTTGTTAGATTATGCATAGTCTACTAAGTGCGTATTTTTAATTTTACAAGACCAGTATAACCTCTAGGCAGGCCACCCATCCAGAGTGCCTCCTCCCGCATTGGCACGCTAATAAATAAATACAAGTAATCAGGGATATAATTCAGTTTTGCTGCTTTCTAGGTTTCCCAAAGTATACACTGTTAGTAAAATAAAATAAAATAAAATACTTTAAAAATAACAAGGGCAATTCAAAATCAGTTTGCAATATTATAGAACAGTTTGCTGAAATACTAAGCAAGGTACTTGTATCACTGGAACATGGGGTCTCATTACGCAATTTCAATATTCTCCTACCATCACCCCACTTAGGTTGTCTTTGACCATCTACTTAAATCTTGTGAGTTGCTTAACTCAAGTTTGCATTTCAGTAGAGGAGAAATGGTTGAGGAAAACACCATTAACCTATATTAAAAACACACTCGACAGTAAAAATTAAATTAAGAATTATTACAGGTTGTAATGCATTCATACAAATTCCATTTTCCACCATGGATATAATTAAGAGTACATAAGCTCCATGCTACGTTTCCATCAATTTGGAGAGAAAACAGTTTTTTGTTTTCTTCCTAGATTCCATTTAGAGAGATAAAGTTGAATAGCTTTAACATTTCGATTGTGCCTTCAGTGGGTCAAGTCGATCACAAAACATTCTTTTTTCCGAAAAAGAAGTGAGTATTATGACTCATTTGGCTCTTTCATCTTTGCATATTAGACACACATTCGTAGCCTTCAGAAGACCTGCTATTGACAAACATCAATCCCCTACATCTGTGCTCTGATTGTGTTTGTGTTTACTGGGACATATATGAATGAATGAAGCTAGCAAAGTCAGAAGGGAAGCATTGGTATTAACCGTAAATAAAGAGAAATGAGAATTTCAAAATAGATTTGTATAAGCATCTTAGCCCTGCGGTGTATCAGAGAGCAAGCATCTGTGTAATATAATTAAACTGGGTCCTACGGATTCAAAATTGCTTAGGAAGCAAGCAAAGCCTTTAACTGCAGCCAAGACATCTGCTGAAGAAATTCTGTGGCCAGTAAATAATTTTTAAATTAAATTGTGCAGCCCAGCCCCTCAGCTGAGAGCTTCCACCCTGGCTCTGCAAAAACAGAGAAATTTCAGAAAAAATTAACCCAAAGTCCAAGGAAATCATATTTAGGGACTCATTTCCTTGGAACCAAGCAAAATTTGTATTGCAGTCAAATATCCATCCCTTGGCTCTCTTGCTGCATTGGAAGCTCTGCTTGTTCTGAATGAAAGCAGTAATTTTTATAGAGATTTTAACCGGTTCTGTAAATTTTGGTACAGCAAAATTTACAGCGATGTGGCTTTTGTTCCAAATTTGGCTTGCTCCTTGACAACCTTGCAAGCTTCCAGTGAGCTATGGACTTTAAGAGTCCCAGCTATAAAACTGCTCATGTGACCTCAAGTAAGGCTTAAGACAGTTTACTTGTACTCCAATCCTATGCACCTTTACCTGGCAGTAATCCATGTTAAACATGGTAGGACATTCTGAGCAAACGTGCCTAGGATTGTGCAGTTATACTGCAATCCTGCTCATATTTACTGGGAAGTAAATACCACTGAGTCCAATAGGGCTTACTCCCAGGTTTAAATGTGCATGGACCTGCAGTCTCAGTTATGAATGGATTAATAGAAATGTAATGTTCAAGTATTTCTGTCCACATTCTATATAGATATATACCCCTACACTTATGAATATCAATTAGCCAGTTGAAGTATACATGGGTTACTTAACCCAAATAGATTTTGTATTTTCATGATGTATTATATTAAGTGTTAAAACATAATCTATCTAGGTGTGGGATGCACAGGTACACATAAAGCATTCCTGGGTAATTCCATGAATGAAAAAATAGCAATTTTCCTATGACACAGATATATACACATGTATATTCGCACACTGTTTAAAAACATTCAGATAAGCTTAGAGGGGCAGCAGATGAAAAAAAAAATGAATCTGGTTTATCTTAATGATAAATGTCCAAACCTGAGTTTTGTTTGTTTTACTTTTAAGAGGAGAATTTTTCTGCTCGAATTGTTGACATTAAAGTGAACAGTGTATTACATATTTAACCACAATGGGTTGGATCCTCATACAGATATGAGGATCCATTAAAAATAATAGGTGTTAGGTTAGTAACGACTATCTCAAGTCCTATTGATTCAAATCGTTCTGGTCTGAGCACGACTGAATCTGCATCCCATCTAACATATTTAAGCATTAAGATATTCATTTCATTACTGGGTCACATATACAGTGGCCACTCTTGTGCTTTTTAAAAATTAAATCAGTGGTTTCGAAACTGCATATTTTGCTCCTGGAAAGTCGACATTTTAGAATGTTCCCGTTGGCTTCATGGCGGAATCACCCTTGTTTTCATGGAACAACGCTGCCATCTGCTGTTAGGTCCCAGTCATTGCAGGCAATAAACAGCTGGAGGAACCGTATAAAAGTGTAAAGCATGGTTGAAATCTGCCATTGCAAAGGGTTCGAATAATCTGCTTTGCCATGCAGTAGCAATTATAGCAAAGGTTCCAGCCGAAAATTCATTACAGATAAATGTTCACCTTTCAGCCTACATTTCAGAGGAAAAGGGCTAATAAAAGCGAGCTATTTCCGCAGATCCGCTTTATCTGAAACAGCCAGACAAAACAAATGAAAGGGCTTTTGTAGAAAATCTTAATTGTGGCTGGACAGTTGTAAACTCATTAAGGGCTGAATTCCAGACAGTTTGCAGACCCGCCATTTATTACGCACTTCTACTGCTGATTCTTTGAAGTCCCCACTGTCTGCAACAACAGAGGGCGTCCGAACATCCCAAACCACTCGAAGGGGCATCAATTAGAGGTTCCCCCCTCCTGCCCCCCTTCCCTGTTTCGCTTTTTCCTAATTAAACACATCTTACCAGAACTTTCGTTTGTGTGCATGCGCGCGCAAACAAGGGCCCAAAAAGAAATAGAGACAATTATCTGTTTTCCTTGGATATTCGAACTTTTGCAAGGCTTGAATCCCTGAAAGTTCTTGTCTTTAACCCTCCAGCATTTTACACCCCATAAACGGTTACAGCGGTCATTTTCTTTTATTGCACTCTATGGCTCTGAATTTTCCTAACAGCATCTTCTGCCAAGACTTGCTCTCTGGAAGTATGCTGGCTTGCTTTGGCTTTCTTTTAATTCTTGCTTTTGGAATAAACCAGGGCATTCATTCTGCAAAAGCTGCTGAAGAGTCTTATGCAAAATTCTGCTCCAGTTGAAGTGGGGTGTGTGACTGAATGATCTGCCACTCCATGAGTGGACAAACCCTCTTTGGAGCTAAATTTCAACCCAACAGAATTATTTGTATTGCTCATCCGTTTGAACCAGCCCTTTCACCCCAGAGATGTCTGGAAGTGATTGTTAAATTATTGGCTATTCTTCTCTTTCCCCTGCTAAAACAGCCCTGTTTCATAAACTGGATTAAACCAACAAGAAAAATATTTCTAAAATATTGCTGTCCACTGTTGTCAGATAAGCGTTCATCTTTTGCTGCATTCAAATATGGTGTATTTTTCTGCAGAATACATGGGGCATAGGGAAAACAAGTAGAAGTACTATTGATGATGAGTGTACTTTTTATATGAAAATAAAAGAGGTGGTTTTGGTCTATGGATTATATGCTTCTGGAAACCAATTAGGTTAAAAAAAAAAAAGAGAGAAAGAACATGAGCAGTGAAAAATGATGACCACTTCCTTGATCACATGATTTTCCTTCAGAAGGTCACCAATATTTTAGACTGGTGCTTTAAAAAAAAAAGGCAAAACAAAAACGCCCTCATCTGCGCCAGCATCTCAGATAATAAAAGGTTTCCAGGATGCTCACTGCAGAGTCCTAACACTGGGAATAGGTCAGATATAAATAAAGATAATAAAGATAATTTTCAATATGGGATTCTATGTAATTAATAGGTGGGCTGGGTTTATTAACATCATTTAAGTCAAGAAACCATGTACAAAATTATGAATCTATATATAACATTTTGATGCACAAAATTATGCCCTATTAGTAGGACAGCAGTGAACCAAAGCATATCTGCTTGGAAATAAGTGCAATTAAAATTTGTGGGGCTTACTTTTAAGTAACCATCTTTAGGATCAAAGTTAAGGTTTTGATTGCTCTCCAGGGTAAATTCGGTATCTGGGCAGGGCTTGGTGGAGCAGTGCCCATTTAATAATCTTAAAACAGCACAAAATATAAAAGAATCAATACATTTTTTATTTAGCAAAAAGTTAAATATCATTTTGGACACAACTATTTGGTCAGTAGGCCATGAGGTAAAAATTGCAAAATATACACTGTAACTTCTGCATAAACATTAACTTCCAGGACTTCTTTTAATTTTTTTTTAATAATCGATACAAATCTACAATAACCAAAGGTAGGTTTTTAGAGTGTATAATTTATTATCAATAAAATTAAACTTCATTACAATAAGAATCAAATTATCTGATTAAACTTAAAAACGTAAACCATAGGTAGTTAGTTACCTTTTCACATATAGGTATAGCTCCGAAATCTGAAAACTGCTCACCGGTGCAAAAACAATATTCAAGCTAATCTGATTATTAAGGGATTCTTTCTTTCATATATAGATTATATATATACAACTGACGAAGACTGTACTATATATATATATATATATAATATAGATCAAGTGTGCATACTTAAATGACTTGCTTCAAAGCAACTGGGCGTGGGGGTGGGAGTCATGAGCGGTTTGCTAGCCAAGATCATATTTTTCCCTTTATGGTTCCAAGTTGGGAAAGGGAGAAAGCAAACTGTTGATTTGTTTTCCCCATACAATCCAAGGTTCACTGTCTAATGATACAGAAAAAAGACTCCTTACACTACAGAGCTATACTCTATGCAACCTTTATAATAAACGACCTGAGTTCAAATTGAATTCTAGCTTACACAATCACATCTGGTACAGCACCCAAGCACAAAAAATTGAGTCACAAACATAATTACCACGATAAAACACAGTGTTCAAGTATTCGAGCAGAACCCTCTGCTGCACAAAGAGCAAATAAAATTAGCTACTTTAACTAACCTATACAGTCTGTAAAGAATTGTGCATTAAAAAGGTAGTTTTCTTTCTTTCTTTTCTTTTCTTTTCTTTCTTTCTTTCTTTTTTCTTTCTTTCTTTCATGTAGGACAGGTAGATTTAGATAAGCCAACAAAATCAGCTTGAGCATGAATGTCCCCCTTTTATTTCCTATGATTTCAAACACTGAAAATCAGGGTGCCTCCTCAAAAGCACGGGGGCACAGCCAGTCTCCCTGCACGACGGCGAGGTACTTGCAAGAGCTGGATTGGCCAAGGACAAACAACAACAACAGCAATAACAAAAATTCAAATCAAAAAAGACAAAGAGTGAGGCCTGGGCACAGCCTCGGGTCTGGGGGGAGGGGGGATTGTGTTGCCTTGCACTGGAAGGGACGATTTCTCTGTTCTGAAAGTCGAAGAACCTGCAAGCATCATTCATTCATCTTTCGCTCGGTCTTTGTTGATTTTCTTCATTTTCATCCTCCGGTTCTGAAACCAGATTTTCACTTGTCTCTCGGTTAAATTCAGGAGCCTGGCCACTTCATACCGCCGGTCCCTGGTCAGATACATGTTGAACAAAAACTCCTTTTCCAACTCCAGTGTCTGGTGCTTGGTGTAAGGGCACCGCTTTTTTCGGGTGGATCTTGCATGCAACCAGTTTGCAGCTGGATTATCTGCAGGGAAACAACGCCAGAGGTTACAGGAGAAGGCGACCTGCACACGCAGACACATGCCCACGCACTCACACCCCACGTTGTTATGGCACACATGTCGTGCGCATCCCACCCTTTCAAGCACATAGGTACCCTGATAGGGTGCTTTACGGCATCCTTTTCATTTGGATGGACATACGGGACAGGGAAGACACAATGGACTCTGGACGGGGACACACGGAGAGGTCGCGCAGAATTACATGGCAGTAAAGCAGCACCGGCCATCTCCTCTGCCCTTCATATTGTCTATGCAGAGAGTATTTTAAAAGGCAGCCTTTCCTGCTCTCTTTTCTCTTTCCTCCCCGAATTTCCCCTCTCCCCCTCCCATTAAAAGGGGGGAGCTGCTGGACGACCCCCGAGCATGCAATGTCATCTGAGAAGGTTTCACTTTTTAATTCTGACCTTCTCTCCTCTCACCCCTTGAAGCTTGCAGCCAGACAAGGGAACACACCCACACGTTACGGCTTTGCTTATGAAACTGATTTGCATGTGTGCGCGCGTCCGTGTCAGCACTGACCCGGCCACTGAGTTAAAAGCCGAGGCGAGGAATGAACAGATAAGGAAGGAAGGAAGGAAGGAAGGAAGGAAGGAAGGAAGGAAGGAAGGAAGATGTTAGTGGGGGGAATGGCCCACAGTTGTCACTCTTGGCTTCCCCGGGCAGCCACCTCGTCACGAAGGGATCAGATTCGCATCCAGTGTTTGGTTTGGCCTCCCCGCTCCGAAGGGACTTGGGAAGGTTCAGGAGGACCCTCGCCCTGCCCCCTCTCCCCTCCGGGGCTGCCCAGTCTCGGCTTCACAGAGGGGCCGTGGGCTTGGGAAAGCGCGCCCGCGAGCCTGCCGCCCGCCCGGCCAGCCGGCCGCGCACGGCGACACGCGCGACCGAGCCCCCCGCCTCCAAGGGTGCCCCCCCAGCACGCACACGCACACGCGCGGAGCCCGCCGCCGCCCGCCGAGGACACCGTCGCCGCGCAGCGCTGGCGCGCCCGGGCGCCCGGCGCGCCGC